TAGATAGATAGATAGATAGATAGATAGATAGATAGATAGATAGATAGATAGATAGATAGATAGATATAAGTACCAGTTTACTTGTACTTGAAGGTGTGTATGTCTGCATATGCGTGTTTTAGCATCTGTACTCAATTACTACGCTGATTACGATGATAGAGAACTAACCAAATCACTCTAAATATATCCATCCATATATATTTTTTTGTTTGTAGTCATGAGTATAATAGAGCTGGTAAATATTCTTTACTTAGTGCATGAGACTTTTGAAGGATGACCGCTATAAAATGAACGAAAGCTCATCCAGGTTTTACCTCGGGAACTGTGTAAACCTGAAGGTTGCATTAGAGACAAACGAAGGCAGGAGAACGGGAATCGGTCGTTGTTTTCTGGTGAGACCAAGAAACGATTCGCGGCATCAAACAAAATGAAAGTCTAAAAAGCAATGTTATCTCAAGGGATTTAGCGAAATCCAGCTACTCCTCATGACTTTGGACTATCTCACCTCCTTTGTCTAAGGCGGAAATATGTGTACAATTGGATTCACGACACAACTTAACTTTTATACCAGTCACCCTTAGTCAGTCTGTACTACATTGCCTGACCGAGCCAATGTCATTTCGGCGGCAGCGACATGACATGGCATGTCCTCTTCTTTCTCGCCAGTTTCCTCGACGTCGTGCCCGCCCTTGCGCCAAATTTCACCTCCTCCATTGCAGATATGTTGTCGTGCCGTCTGGAACCGCTACTTCCCCACTCGTGCCACTCCACTCTCGATCGCCCAATCGCATACACACCCACACTGGATACTGGTAGCTTCTTGGGCCGAGCAGAAAAGCGAAATCGCCATATTTATTTTATTATTCGAATGATTTAATTGCCCATACACCGGAAATCATGCCCAGGCCTGAACCTGCCTGTCATCTTGACTGCTCTTGTTCCTCGTCTACGACAGTGGACAGGCACACCGACACCCGGCCAATACACACGTCGACATAGTCTCCCAACTCCCGCGGCCCTGTCTCACACTTGACCACTCAGAACATCACATTTTCCGTACAGTTGTTCTTTCGTTTGCCCGATTTCTTCGCTACGTTATGCTGGTTTCCCTCTAACCCCACTATAGCCCTCCCACCCCGCCCACTCAGGCAGTCAGGCTCCCTCTTCACTTTCCATTATCTCTGTCTCTTGTCTGTCTGTCTATCCCCTCCCTTGTTTCACAAAACCACACGGATAAGGGAGAACTGCAGTGAATAGATGTGTTTTGTATTTTGATCTTATAGAAATCAGCAGTTGAAAAAATGGAAAACATGAGACCCCTCATTATGCATGTTTGTGTTTATTGGATGAAGGGAGGGAAAGAGAAGCCCCAGCAGAGTCTTTTCTCTATTCAGCACGTGATATCATGCTTATCCACCCATTTCTACCTCTACCCACATAGTCATATGACCGGAACAATCTAGGGACTGTATTGAAAAGTGAATAAATAAATGGTGTGAAAAAAGACCGCCGAATTCGAGGGCCGCATTCTCCGTCCAGTCATGCGTTCTCGTTTTCCCAGAGGGATTCGGGACCTCGTGAAGTTATTGTGCACCGTTCACATGCTTTAATGAGACCACATGTTTGTTAATCCATTCGGCGTGCTCAAAAGACACCTGAAGTTGGCCATTTTCACGCGGTACCGGATTTTCTTAGCCGCCAGCCATGCCCACTCTCTGCGCCACCCGCCGCCTACGTCCTTCCCGGTCATTACCGGCTAATCCTTCTACGTGCTACATGATACACGAAAATATCACATTTCGTCTGCCCTCCCCGGTTGGACCATTTGACCGCCACTGCCACCGTAGTCGAGGGACCCGGCGTCGGGTGGATCCAACCCGAAAAGTCGCTATTCGTGATGTCGCCAGTGTTGGCAGAGGCTGGAGGGCGATAGTATTGATGCTGGCGTCAGCTGTAAAATGGAGGACGGAGGAAGCGAGGGGAAGCAGAAGCGTTGGGGTTGAGGATAACCAAGAGACGCTTGATGTGCATAGCAAGAAAGGCGAACTCAGAGAACGTGCTATCCGCTGCGTCTTCTCGCGAAGTGGGTCATATTGTGTGAATGAGCAGAAATTGCTGTCAAAACATGCGGGCTAAAAATGGCCGGAGTTAACGCTTCCTTCGCTCCGGGGCCCAGCCAAAGCGTCACTCGTTGATTGGCATCGTTTCAAGCCCTTGTCGAAACGGCCCAGTGTCCGGTTGGGCGGTAGAAATTGCTTATTCACCCTCGTTCAACAAAAGTAAGACCGTTTGTGTACACCTTTGTCTGTCTGTGTGCGGCCCGTAGGCGAGAGCCAAGATGCGGTTTCGGTATCCGTTCTCTGGTTGCTTATCCCCTCATCCCTCGGCCAGCAAAGCCACTGCAATCAAGTCATCATAATCATTTGATAACACGGCATGAGAGTGGATCCTGCGGGCAGGGGTGCAGGTGGAGCATACTTTTTCAAGTAGCTTCTTGGAGTATGGCAAGACACTTACTGATAGAGGGATTAAGAGCGAATTCCATCCCTTTTCCATCCATCCATCCACCCATACACACACGCACAAGCGTGCCCACACATACACACATGCATAGACATATGCGTCGAAAGACAAAGAAGGTAAACAGGGGACAAGTGGGGGAGCAGGAAGCTGGCCTAACACCCAAATGAAGAAGAGTCACTGGCTTATCATTGAAAGTCTAACCCTCCTACCTAATACCCCGACAACCCACTCAGGCCATCACTCAAATTCTATGCCATAACACTTGTCCCACCTCGTCTCTACTCCACACCACACACCTCCGGTCAGCTGTACTTCCCACCTCCTTACTTTCAGGCTGGCCAACGTCTATTTTATCGTCTCGATAATCTCGACGGCCTGGCCACACCATGAAGCAAGAATTCCCTCATGGGGGCGAGAAAAAAAACAATACGAACCCAATAAAGAGTGTAAGTGGAGGGCATGGTCAACTCATCTGAGGACAGCCTAGCAGAGCATCCTAGACCCACTCCGTCCTCTACCATCTAAGGCTGTGTATGCTAACGACTGTAGAGGCTTTATCATCACGAAGACTGCAGTGATCCCATTTTGAGGATATGCATTTTTGGCCAATTTAACGAACTAATAAAATCCTTTGATGAAAACCGGCAGAAATGCTAGAAGCTTATCCGCCAAAATTTTATAAACCACCTAGTGACGCATATAAATACATCTGCCATTTCACAGAGTCGATGGTGTCTGTGACGACGACTACCATCGTTTGTGAGGTCCACGATAATATATCACTTCTATCTCCCGTTTTGTCATATTAAGAAATAGGTTACCATGCGTACTTTGGTTTGAATGGAGGATTGACCCTTATCGGTAGAACTGATACATGCCTCATCATTCTGGTTTCACTGTAAAGATTCCCAAACCTACAGAGGGGGGATCTAGTAGTTTCATAAGTGAAATTGTGAAATGGATGAAGGTATTTGTCTCACAAAGAGTGAACATAAGTTGGGAATATTCTGGACGTAAATCAACTTGATGAAAGGTTCACTTAGTAGTAAGCAAGTTCTCATATTCAGATGGCCTGCATCTGCATAAGTATCATAACAAAATAACTCATTCCAGTATTTTTTGAAATTATTAATTATTCTTTAATAAGATCTTAGTCATCCTAGGTTGGTTAAGTTGATTTCATGATTGATTGTGAAGTATATCCCACAACAGTATGAGAGAGTCTCACGATGCCTTCTCATTTCATTCATTCATTTTTTGTTCAAGAATTACTTATCGTTTCTAAACATACTAATGCCAACTATAGGTAGCTTTATTGGTGGCAAATACATTTTTGCCTAAATGAAGTTCTCACAATAAACTGTAAAGAGCTGGCTTGCTTTTGGAGTCTCATCTGTCCTGTTGCACTCTGGTACCTGTAACTATGACGCCGAGTTGTGGCGTGTCGTCACGATGCGCACGAGTCGGGCGAATTGCGCGAGAGTTCTTCAAGAATGACTGATAATTTCCAAATATACTTGTACAAAATATTTTATTATGCTATTTAACCAGTTGTAAGCAATCTGCGTACGGGCGATGGATTGGTTGAATGCAAAGCTTGCTTCAAGCAGACAGCAATTCAGAATATTCCCAACCTGCACTTAGACTTTGTGGGACGATTACTTGCATCCATTTAGATAACTTCATATATGAAACTACTGGCCTTCAATCCTTGGTTTGGGAATATTGTGTGATGAAACCAGACGTATTATGCAGGAAGTGGGCATTCGACTACCCGTTGCGGTAGAGGCTGTTGTCATTTTGAAGAATATTAACTTCCTGGAAGAGGTCAGGCTTTAAAATTGGTGAAAACATTTCCATTTAGAGGTGAAGTCTATGGTGAAGACCTTCAAAGGTCGATCCCACAGTAAGAAAACATCAAACTCCTCCTTGACAGCTGCAGTTTTGGTTTTCTGCAACGTTTCGTTTAACGTTAACAACTGGCACGCTTTAATCAGAAATGTAGAAGACCATTCCTGAGAGAACGTCAACCAGAAGGCCAACCGAGAGCTAGGCAAGAGGAAACTATCGTCCTATGATAGGACCGACCTTCTACTTTCTTCATCACACAAATTCACTCTTAATGGAAATGAAACTAAGAGCAATTATTCATGAAAAAAACGTTATTTCATAATTGAGTTTTCTTGATTCGTTGGCTTGAATGGTGAAGTATCCGCCGTCGCCTTCTGATGGAATCGAGCCTTAAATCTCTTCACCAAGCACTTTCACTCGAAATGGAACTAGGCGCAACAATTAGGAAACAAAAGATTCCTCGAAATCCAACTTCTCTTAGCACTGTTTCTGAAGACGTTTAGATGGTCTTGAAACATCCTCGAATCAATTCATGTTGGTGTACACTTAATTTTCCTTGATAGGGGGAGTAGAATGGATGGGCAGATTGGGCGCACCAGAAACAGCATTTGTGAACTCAAACTTCGACAATGTTCCTTTAGGCAAGGATCCTAGCAAAATCAGGACTCCACTCTTATATTGTAACATGAGTTTCCATTTCGAAGGAAAATTTGGTTGGAAAGAATTCGTGAAGTGGTCTCACCAGAAACCGTACAAGCAATGCTGCGGAATGAAGTGTGTTGTATAGTATGAAGAAGTTCTCGGCTCACCGTCCTGTGATCCAAAAAAACCTGCTCTAGGCTTTCGTATGTTTCATCGTGACATATCCTCAGAGCGAAAAGACATTCTTTATGAAATAGTGCAAAAAATAAACTCTTAGTTTAATATATTTTTGCGCCATTTTGTTCATCTGATTATATGTCACGATGAAACATACGAAGGCCTATAGCAGGTTCATTAGGATCGCAGAACGGTAAGCCAAGAACTTATTCATACTAAACAACAGTCCTGACTCCGTGGCAGTGCTCAGTCGGTTTCCGATGAAAACATTTCAAGAATTCCTATAAATCAAATTTTCCTTTGAAATGGAAAATCATTTCACATAAAATCACTAAGGAACTCTTCGAAAACCAGTTTTTATTCATATCTTCTGTCTTCTACGCCTCATGGTACACGAGTGCTGTTTTTGAAGTGGCCAATACTATTTCGTATCCCTTTTAGCCGCAAGCAAGTGAGAAATTTTGGTAGCAAATATAATCGCAATTTCCAAACTAGAAATTTTTACGTCATATTAATACCATTGCCTGTTTTTAATCGACATTTGGTTATGGCAGCTCTCGTTAAATGTCACAATTTTGCATGTGGTTGAAGCGAGTGATAGTGACTTCAGACAGAATAATTCTAGGAAACAGGTGGAGCTGACTTGAAATTCCCGGAACTATACATCCATGAATGCCGTCTTTGACCAGACTTTATCTCAGTTCATCGTCGCATCAGCACCCGTAGTGAGATTAAAACTGCGGATGGACACAAACGTAAACATTCTATGCATTTCTTAACCGACATGTCCTTTAGCCCGGCCTCAGAGGTCAGAATTAGCACAAAAATTCGTATTGTAGATCTGGAATAAGAATTGTGCTCACCCTATTTACTTTAAGGTGAAGGACTGGAAATTAAATTTACTCGCATTCATATAAGTAGGCTTAAGGCTTCCACTAAATTTGACATAGCCTGGGTGTGTTGATGAAACTTTGGCGAAGTTCACCCTTTCCTAGATGAGAATACCTTTTGTGAAGAAAGGAAATGCGAAATTCAATGGACATATAAGGCCCACTCATAACATTGTGGAAAATTTCAACTATCAGTCTTCCCTCACCTTAAATGAAACACTTATTCCAAGCAAGATTGTGATAGTATATTTAGGTCCAGAAGTCCCATTTATCGTCTTGTAAGCGCAAGTCCTCGAGGTGATTATTCTTTCATCCTGCTGATGGTGACATTGTCCGAGCGAGAAAATATGCTTTAGCAAAACATTAAAAGACACCCTGAGCTAAGAATTGAGGTCGGATGCAATAATACCTACTTCTCATTGCCTAACTTTGAAGTCTTGATTAGCAATTCGACGATTTGATTGGCTAATTCATGTTAGTAGCTAAATGAATTTGGTGATGATGTGAACTGATATTCATCTCTTTCCTCATTGACATGTCTTGTGAGCTTGCAAAGTTGATGTGTGTTGTCTTGTGTAAACACTGTTCATGCGTCAATAGAGATGTCCTGCCATATCTCCCAAATGTCATCAACTAATGAGAAGTAATTCATACTCTGTTTTCTGTATTCGTCCCTACAATTAAAGAAGTTGGTCGTTTTGTTTATTTCTCCCTCCCAAAAAACGACGAGGCTTAGACTATAATCTGGTGCCTTCTGTTGACTTTATTATTTTTAGTCTTTTATACCTTTTGGTGCCTTTAGAGCACAGAGTACACCTCTAATATGGGCCAAACAGTCTTCCCCACAGGCAAATTGAATCTTGTAGCAATATAGTCAGAAAAGCGTGTCTGAAAATCACCTAAGATAATTTTTTGTCTATCTTTAAATATGGCTGAACTGTTATACAACCTCAGTGGTTCGTCAAAATTTTTCTAACGTTTATAAGATGGCAACATCAGGAATTGTCTAGGGTTGTCTAACACCCTGCCTTGCCAAATATGCTTTTTACTGCTCATTATATTTATTATAATTTTGAAATAGTTTACAATTAATCCTAATGGATGTTTGTTCCTTAAATTCTGCAATGGTGTCTCTTAGACTCAGATTAGTTATTATCAGTGATTGAATAACCCATACTTTAGCCTCATAAATAGGATTATAAAAAAAATTTAGAGCCAATCTAAGATGGTATTTGGCATTTCATTCAGCATTACCACATAAAAGATGTACTCCTCAGAAGTTTGCTCCAGTCGGCAAGTCGGGGAATAAATCACGAGATTATTCGGAGCATAAGACTAGACGATAGAGACCATTGTGACAATGAACTGGATCGGCTCAAACAAATATTTCTTAAGAATAGTTATCCCCTAGGTTTGATTAAAAATAAGATTAGATAAATAAAGAATAGCTTTTTAAGTGGTGACTGCGTAAGGAGAGATAAGAGGACCTTTTCGCATGTTTTATCTTTACCTTCGTGCATTTGCTCTAAAAGAAGAGGTGAAAAAGTAAGGAAGTGGGGAATAAAAATGGTCTTCAAGGAAACTACAACATTTTCTTGAGTTATGCCCACTTTTAGAGAGAAAGTTGACCAATTCTTTTGATCGGGTTGCTACAAAATAATGTGTTAATGTGGTCGCTTTTATGTTACAGAGACTTGTCGTTCCATTCGACAAAGCGGGGCTGAGCACAAAAGCGCCTGCAAAGGCTGTTGGGTTCAAAAATCGGAACTTGCTGAGCCCAGGCCATAAACGGACCACAAGATTGAATGGCCTCAAACTTGTCGTTTTACTAATTATGGCATGTTTGAGGCAAAACGTAAAGTTAGAGAAACCATCGAAATAAGCCGAATAGGAAATACTTTGACTGTAAAGAATACTGGTAAGAAGATAAGTAAAAATTACTTGTGCTTAATTAATAGACTGAAGGATAGGGAGGGAGTTGAGCCGCCAGCAAAAAAATGGCAACACAACTAGTCTTTTCTTGTCTTGGTTCTAATCATAGTCACTTCTATGTAATTTTAGTACACTCTATCTCACATAAAGAAAAAACGCTCATCAACGTAACCAGACATGTGTACCACCTTTCGCAATCGTAGTGATGGTTATAACATGTGTGTAGAAAGGGGGAGATAGGGGTCATCAAACCTTGATGACCAAAACCAGACGTTTCTTTTTATTGTCCTAATTACTTCAAGCCATCACTGCGGGTTTCGTGCATAAGTGAAAATAGCCAGGCAACTATATATACAGAGACAGACCCACTCACAGGATTTGAGGTTGAAATGTGACGGTAACTAATCAAATCGCTTAAAACTTCATCAAAGAAGCCAGATGTAGAGTATATATACCACTTTTTAGGGATTTGTCGGTGAGTTGTATTGACTCGTTAGCTTGGATTTGTTTGTGACGATGATACATTGCTCTAATGATGTTCGTTATATGACGGACGAAAGCTTAGCACCTTTTAACCGGAATCGAAGGAGATCACCTCAGAAACAGCGTCAGCATGAATGTTGCAGTAGTACTAATCGACAACTGATCAAGAGGAATCCGTCGTCGTCTTCTGGTGGAACCGACTTTGGAATCTCTTCACCCAACACTTTCACTCGAAATGGAAGTAAGCACAGCAATTATTAAACAAGATATTCCTCGAAGCCCAACTTTCATTCGCATTAATCCTGGGAGTTTGGCGTTGTTTTATCCATCTTTTAATCACTCATCACAGACGCAGTCTATCGAATTGACACACAATCCCCTGAATCTAAAAACCAAGGCTAGAGAACTTTTATCTATTGCTCTCATGCAACAGGCAGATTTGGACCGATGGGGTGAGACGCAGCAGAGTTAATCAGGAGTTCTGTCTATTTATCACAAGCATCTGGCGGTAAATTTGGACTGTACGGAAGTAGGCGAAACAGCGAGAGCAAGAGAAAGTGAGAAATCTAAAATATTGCTGGGTCTGTATGCACATCTTCATACATTCCTCATCCTCGCTGGTATAGTAACACATCGAAAATTGTTGACATGATGAAGGAGAGCGCTGGCTTTATGTGCTCAAGGCGCCCTTGATCCAGGGAGCTGCCAGGTTTGGCTTGACACCTCTTTGTTTAACTGCAAATTAAGACAGTTCATCTTGCTGCATTTTAGCTTAGTGTTTTACATTCACACGCATACACATGCAAACAAGCATTCATACACAAGCCAACACGATTACGCATACATATCCACCACACATCGACACGTGCACAATGGAAACACACATGCAATCAGCAACGGCTCTTCCTCCCGGTGGTTGTCTTCTGTTTGCCTTGGCAAATATAGCCTCCTCCTTCTTCTCCTCGTACCTTCACGAACCGGGTAGCTTCAGCTGCTCCTGATGCCTTAACATCGCTCCTCATCGCCGAACCACTCAAGTCACAGAAGCGAGTCTGGCCCCTGGGTGCATGTACAAGGCTGGATGTGGGTGTAGAGGGGGGCGAGAGGGAGGGTATGCGTTCTGTACCCACCAAAATACATGACAGACTGCCTTCGCGTACGTAACCGGTGTCAGCCAGTTTCCATAGTCGGGCGATAGAGTTTAGCCTATGTTCTGTAGTCGAGGGTACGAAGAGGATTGTGCACATACGATGAAGCACATAAGAGAAACCAGAGGAACTAAGGGCCCCTCCCCTCCCCTGCTGAGATAGCATTTGTACACATAGAGGACCCCATTCTTACGCGCGTTGGGGAGAGTGAAACAGGAAAACTCACATGTATCCAACGTGCAATAGCGAGGGCGTTTGAGCCTCCTGTCAATTGGGTGAATAAAGGGGGAACTTCGGGTTCTGCTTCGGTTACGGAAGTAGCTGGCAAACTCGATGCGACTAGAGATCCATCAAAAAGGATCAAGTAAAATCAGAAGTTTACAGCATTCATTCGCTTACTAGCATAGTTAAGCAAAATCTTTTCGTACTTATGAAGGCCAAGGTAGATTAGCCTCTCGATGTATCCAAGTGATTTAACCTAGGTTTCGCAACTTGGTAGTATTGTCAGAAAGATATAGATGAACATACCTTGTCTGTAGTTATACATTATAATATTCCTGATACTTTCAAGCGTTGGACCGTGAACTTGGTACAGATATGACGACAATGATAGAATAAACTTCTTGAACCAGGGGCATAAGAAGCAGATTTTACGGGGCAAGGGCCTGTATGATAAAGATTGCCCACTGAAAGGGCCAAATCATATGCGCATTTCCAACACAGTGAGGGAGTGAAGGAGTCAGAGTGGAACGCAAAAAGTCTCCAATTAACTCATTAAGAAGGAACTTGGATCCGTTGTTCTGGAGCCGTTTGGCTTTAGTACAACGTTCATGTTGAAGGGGTACACAAGGCATGCTGCTTCGTTTGGGTGAAATCGGACTGAGCTTTCGTGCATCATATGGATGAAATTATCATAATTTGGTCATATTCTTGGTACAGTTTCACGTTAATGCTGAACCAAGAAGACCATTCTGCTCTATCCAACGTGCTGTAGATGGATTAAGATTAATTTAGTTAGTCTAATCAGCGTATTAATTGGGCACAGACGTTCACACTTGCACGCAGACACACAGTCAGACAGACACACTCAAGTCTGAGTACCCTGATTACAATAAAGGAGAACCAACCAAAGCATTTTATATCCATCTGTATCTTTATATTTTCGTTTTATTTGTGAGTATATTTTTAATGTAGGCTAGAGCTGGATAGGTTTTTGACTTAGTGTTAAGGTGAGATGTTTGCCAGAATGGGTTCCAGATCTGTTGATATATGCCACAGAGTTCGTCAGTGTTGCAGGACGATAAGCAAAAGACTTTGCCCAATTAAAAAATCTCCACTCTGCGCAAGTCAATCATTCTTCGGTTTCCGACGAAACCAGTTCACTTTTCGTTCGAAATGAAGAGCCGAATCCCAGTAAAATACCAGCCAAACTAACATGAATACTACGCCAGCTACGCCTAAGTCTTATCTTTAACCTTATCTTATCTTTAACTAGAACCCGAGGTGCTCCAGTTCGCAGGCATACCTTTTACCCTGTTGGGTAGACTTGAAAGTGTATGATAAAGGGATTTGTTGGTTGATTTCCGTTGTTATGCGGTCAATTAGCCTTAATACGAAGTTAAAGTAGACGCAAAGCTAGATCGAAACCCATTTACTATTCGTATCTACAGTGGGGCACCCTGTCCTGTTGATAATCGTTAGGGTGGGGAATATTAACGTGGAAGAATGTCGCAGAAATGGCTCCCTGCAACAAATAAGTACTATTGTGTGCCAACCCACAAACGTTTGTGGTTCAACATTAAACCTAAGCAAAGCCAGCAGTACCACAACATTTGTGGGTTGGCACACAAGCGACTAGGGCACGGCAAGTTATAGACTTGGTATTAGGGATAGAAACAGGATAGACGAGGCGGCGATTGGAGCTAGTTGGCTGACAGTAAGTTGTACAAAAGACGTGGTCCATGTAGCAGAGGCATGACCATGTGACTTACTCTGAGACTTTAGCCTCGAATTAGTCACCCAGGTGCAAGTGATGGACGAATTCCGTCTCGAATAGCACAGATGGGGGGGCAGGGGTCAAGTGAAATACATGCACCAGGGAGATAGCAGACGGATTCGACGAT